GGGGGGGGGGGGGGCTGCCGGGAGGGTTTGCTGGGGGCTGTCGTCCGCCTCTTATTTGCAACATTAAACCCCTTCGCCTTTGAGACTTGGGTCTCCCTTTACCTGGTGTAATGCTGGCGTTTGCGATGGTAGAATGTTACCATTTCAAAACTTTTCTCCTTTCCCTCGGCTATGAAACAGACATGGGAGACTTTCCGTTTGTGGCTTTGTTGGAAACGCTGTTCACATCCTGTCCTGTTGACAGGGTTTTGACGTGTGACAGTTTTCAGGAAGCCCTTTAAAATCACCCTAGGATGAGACAGCCTGGTTCATGCTCTAAAGGGCTCCCCTGAAATTCGCACCGTTTTCGGATCTTGACGCTGGAAGAGAGCTGATCTGCCAACGTGTGAGGCAGGGATGGTCCCCGTGGAGGGCATTCCCAGCCTTGTCTTTCGGGCTCTGGGCTCAGTTCTGTGCCTCAATGCTACTTACAAGGCACACTGTTTCTTTTGCCCACAAGTGCAGGTGGCTGAGAAAGTTCTGTGAGGCAGAGACTTTCAGAATGATTGGTTCACACCAGTGACTGTAACTTCCTCTAGTCAGCTTGCTACCTAATAGTTCCATGGTTTGGGGGAGCAGACATACCGTCAGCCTTCAAACAGAATTGCAGAACCGGCCCCCAGATAATAAAAAAGAACGTCAGCCCCAAAAGACCTAGCAAGGGGCTGGAGGGCAGTCCTGGGGTGCTGGCGGGACCTGAACGTCACCAAGAACCTCGTTCGGTGCTGCTGTGGCCTGCGGGCGCCTCCTTCCTGCCCCAGCTCGCTCCCTGCACGTTTCAACAGCCCTGAAAGGGAGGGAAGAAGGTGTGGCTGGCAAGGCCCAGAGGCCCAGCCAGACTCACTCTGACGCGTCTGCTCTCAGAGGAACGAGCCCTGCAAGGAGTTCTTGGCTGGGCTTCAGAAAGGCTCTGCAGGTGGGGACAGGCCCTTTGCAGGAGTGACAGCAGAGTGTTCATGTGGACTTTGTCAAGAGTATCAGTCACGTTGCAGGAAGAGAAGCCCCCGCCAGCAATCTCTCCTTTTGTCTCACTCTGAGTTGATGGAAGGATCTCTCCTGAGGCCCGTCCTCGTTGTCAGTGCCTCCCTGCCCACTCCCCGCAAAGCAGGGATGGTCTCTCTCTCTCTCTCTCTCTCTCTCTTTAAACATTTATTTATTTGAGGGGGGGAGGGGCAGAGAGAGAGGGAAACCCAGAATCCGAAGCAGGCTCCAGGCTCTGAGCCGTCAGCACAGAGCCCGATGCGGGGCTCGAACCCACGAACCACGAGATCATGACCTGAGTCAAAGTCAGATGCTTAACTGACTGAGCCACCCAGGAGCCCCCAGGAGGGTTTCTCTTACTACTTCTGGAGCTTGTGGTGTTTCAGCAAGCAGACTATTTGTCACAAGGAAGATAGGGCTGAGGGAGACGCATATCCTAACCGATTCCCTGTCTTTCCCACCTGAACCAAAGTTACTCTTCCGTATTGATTAACGTACAATCGTTTCTCCCTATTTCAAGCCTGGAAAAGTGAGTTGGAGTGTGAGAGTGCCCGGATCCTTGGTGGAGGGAGCGGGGGCTGGGGGCTGAGCTGGAAGATGAGGTGACTGTGGTTGGTGAGAGCAGGTCACACCGGCCAGAGGGACACCCCTCTGGTGTGGATGTTATCACAGGGGGCAGACCTCTGCGCTCAGCTGCGTGGGGCCCTGCTCGGCCCCGGCTTCGTGATCGGAGAGCACCGTCCACCCTCTGACTGTGTCATTCCTCCGGGGTGCCGTCTGTCCGTCCGGTTCATGAGTCAGCCATCCGGAAACCTGGCTGAGTGGCCCCCATGTGTCTTCTGGTCCCACAGAGCAGCAAAGAGTGATGCTTCTCAGCAGGTCCCCCTCCGGGCCCAAGAAGTACTTCCCCATCCCCGTGGCGCACCTGGAGGAGGAGATCCGCGTCCGGTCGGCGGATGACTGCAAGCGCTTTCGGGAGGAGTTCAACGTGAGTTTGGAGGTTCCTTGCTGTTCTTGTCGTGGGGTCGGGGCCTGGGAAACGCAGCACCGCATTTCAGGGCACATCTTCCCAAAGACCGCATACACTCGCGTGGGTCGCCACACTGTCCCAGAGGGGTTTCTGGACGCCTGGCTTCTCCTGCGAGGTCCACGCACACCCCTCGTTGCTCATTCGTAAGATGAGACGGTCGAGCGAGAGGTTCCCGAAGGCCCCTTCCAGCACAGACGCTCTGAGCGCCGAGTCCCAAAATCTAGCGTGATAGGGACACGGCGGTCTCCCTGATGTGGAAGACCAGGGCCCGAGCGGGCGGCAGGGTGACAGTCCTGCGTGGAAAGCGGTGGACCCCCCCCCCCTTCTAATGGGCCTCGGCAACCTCGTGCATCTCGCGGGTGAAGGAAACATCCCTCTTGCGAACCACCCTCGTGGCATGACTTAAACAGCCGTGGGGCCGCTTGAGGGGCCACGGGCTTCGGTTCGACCTGTGCCCCAGCCTCTCCTGGGCATCACCCAGCTACTGCCGTTCTGGGTGAATTGCCTCTGTGGATCTGGCAATGGCAGCAGCCAACTAGCACGGCTTTAACCAACTGTGATGGTCCCCACGGGAGCAAGCCGATTCCCCCAGCTCTCCACAAAAACCATGAAGGTGCGTTCGTGACGCCTCGCCTCGTGCGATTCGAGTTTTTGTCAATGTCCTGTGAATTGTGACTCTGTTGGATAGACAGAGATTTGGGGGGTGGGGGGAGG